TCATTATATCCTCACATGGTGGAAAGAGGGTGAGGAGCTCTTTGGGGTCCCTTCTGTAAGGGCACTAAACCCATTCAGGAGGGCTGCACCCTTAGGACCTGGTTACCTCCCAAAGGCCCCACCTTCTAATACCATCACCTTGGCAGTTGGGATTTCAACATATGGATTTGCGGGGTAGGGGACACAAACATTCAGTTTCTAACAGCCACATTTGGTAAAAATGGGACTCAACGGGGAGAAAGGTTTTAAGGTCAGGCCCATGTACTAGGCTTACTCTAAGGTCAAAACCTGAGCTGCACCTCTCCATCCACACTATTCGGGCCCCAGGTGCCCATCCCAGGAAGCTCAGTGGCGAGCTCTCAGTTCCAGGAGGCACAACTGGAGCTAATGAATTTGGCTGAGGCAGCGGGAGCAGTCAAAGAGCCCTGGGCTTATGTCTACGCTGCACACTGACTGCTGTGTGACTGCGTAAGGCACAGCCCTCTCTAGGCCACCAGTCCCACTAAGCAGCCAAACAATCCCTAGGGTCCCTGCCAGGAGGGAAAACTGATTCCAACTGGTTGTGTCTCCCAGGAGTCTCATGAGATGTTTCACAATGGCCTTCAGGAGTTAACAGCCCCAGGAAATGACATCAGGGTGGGGAGGTAAGGAGCAGGGCCAGGAGGCGAGGAGCAGGGCAGAGAGGCTTGGAAATCAGGGGCAGGAGATATTTTGGGGCAGGCGGGTCCCCCACGTCACTGCTGGACAATTGTCCAGGGCAGTTATTGTGCTGGGAGTGGAAAATCCTTTTCTGACTCCATCTGCAAGGGCTGAAAATAGTCCAGGGCTATGGGTGGAGCCCCCAAGGACAGGGGGTGACTGGCCCTGCCTGGCCCATTGTTTCTGGCTGGGACAGGGCTGAGACTGACACCTGAGCTGGAGCCAACACAGAGGCAAGCCCAGGAATTCCCCCATTGGAGGAGGAGTGGCCAGGCAGAGCCAAGTCCTATCGAAGATGGGGAAAGTGAGGCCCAGAGAGGGGCAGTGACTCCCCGAAGTTGCACAGTGTACTAGGGCAGAGGAGGATGAGTTTAACTCGGGCTCAGTTCTCACCCCAACCCTTCACCCCCACAAGCACACCCCTCACCCTGGTCACTCCTGGCCAAGCCTCACCCTCCACCTTGCAGGAGGCAGGAGCTCCAGACATGGCACTGTGTGGCGGCAGCGGGGTCACTTCACTTCTCTGGTCACTTGATGCTGGGGAGAAACACTGCCTCCACCCTAGTCCTCAGAACCGGGGGCCTGGAGGGTCTTGGAAATGCCTGGGAGGTAGCTGTTGGTTGTGCCTTCACTGAGGTGGGGAAACTGGAACAGGGGAACAGGTCTCCAGGCCTCAGAGCGCAGTCCAAAGAAGGCAGGCAAGTGGCCTCAGGTCACACAGCAAAAACTCACCATTTGCTGCCTGCCCTTGCCCAGCTCCAGACCAGTCCTCTGCTCCTAGATCTCTGGACTCTTAGTGAAGTGAGGGGTGGCTGCAGAGCACCATGGTGCACACCCCAGTCAGGGAGAAATGGCCACCCTGCTGCCGTGGGAGGGTAGGAGCTCTCTAGCCTGAAGTGGCAAGGTCCTGAAGCTTGCTATTAGGGGGGCCTTCTTCCTCCTCTCCATGCTACCCTCCCACAGCTGGGTACCTGGACAAGGTTCTGTAAACAGCACAGGCCCATGGTCCTGAAATCCACCCACTGCCAGGCAGGGCAGAGGTGGCCCCACACATTCCCCCGGGACAGACCTGCTTCCCTTCTCCCACATCCCACGGAGGGGGTCCCTGGAGACGTACGGCCCACTACTGCTCACTGGCCAGGCACACTGTCCTCTCCTTCAAAACATGTATCCCAATGTGGTTACGTACTAAGTGATGTCAACTCCATGAGGGCAGGGCCCAGCTGGTTTGCCTCCGTAGCCTCCTGGCCTGGTGCCAGGCATATAAATGCTGAGCACACACCGGGCACTGTGAGGAGGACTTTGTGCATAATAATGTAGGGAAGCCCCACAGTGCCCTGCGTGGAAGGTAGCATCTCACTTAGAAATGGGAAAACTGAGGTACTGCAATATTAGGTCACTTGCCCAAGAGACCCCAGCAAGGAAAGTGGGGACAATATTGACACTGAGGTGGTCTGGGTGGAGCATCTGTGTTCTCACATCCTTGCTACACCGCCTCTGTCATCTTGAATCATGCGAGGGGCCACTTAGAGAACCTTCTGCCCTGCGGGGTTGTGAGCATCGTGGGGCACTAGAAAGGGCATGATTCTGGCCATCAGGTGACCCTGGACTCACTCTGACTCACTCTGATGGCCTGGATAACCTGGAGCAAGTCCTCACTTCTCACACCCTTCTGTTTCCTCGTCTCCTAAATGGGATCATAACATCTACTTCACAGGGTTTCTGTGAAGCATCCACCATATAACAGAGATGAGAGGGTCCTGCAGGGTGCGTGGGACATGTGTCAATACACGGCTTCCCTCCCCCATGTGCCTGATTCTAAACAGAGCAGCCCAAATCTGCCATGACAAGGGTGGCAGAGAGGTAGCTTTGGTGGCTTGACCTGGAGTAACCGTGTGTGGATAACACGCTGTTTAGGGCCTCTTCTAACCTCAGGGTGTGAAAGTGGGGATATCACCTGGGGTTCCCCATCCCTCCCGGGCCCTGGAACACCTGTCACCCAGGGCAGAGACCACTGTGTGCCAGGGACCCTGCCCTGATGTCATGCAGTTCATTGAGAACAGCTGCTGCAGGCACATCAGCAGATGTTTACTCCCTGACACTCAACTCTCTACCCTCCCCTTCCTCCCATCCCTGCCCTGTCCCTGGCCTCAGCTCTATGGCTCCATCCCAGTCACCCTGGGCAGGAAGAGCTGGGCACATGCCCTTTCACAGTGGCCTTCATGAGTCAACAGCCCAGGAAGTGATGTCAGGTTAGGGAGGTGTGAAGGGGGCAGGGAGTACTGGAGGGTAATAGGAGATATTTTGAGGGCAGGCAGGTTCCCCCACGTCACTGCTGGACAATGGTCTGGGGCCAGGAGTGGAAAATTATGGTCTTACTTGGGCTGAAAATAGCATGAGGCATCAGAGCAGGAACCTCACCCACAAGGCGAGTGGCCTGGGCCCTGAGCAGCAAGGTAGGATGTGCATACCAAGGGGCCATGCAGTTCAACTGGGTTCCAGAGGTGGGGCTTTGGGCCTGTCCCTGGTTCGCCCAGGGTCTCCAGTATCCACCCTGACCTGTGCCTGCCACAGGATTAGATGGTGAATAAGCCCCTCCTGTGTCCTTATGGAGTGGCTCAGGCCTGCAGGAAAGGCTGAAGGGTGGTTTGTAACAGGCAATCACTAAGAAAGCTCAAGAGGGGCCGGGTGCGGTGGTTCATACCTGTAATCCCAGCACTTTGGGAGGCTGAGGCAGGTGGATCACTTGAAGTCAGGAGTTTGAGGCCAGCCTGGCCAACATGGCGAAACCCTGTCTCTATTAAAAATACAAAAATTAGCCGGGTGTGGTGGCGCATACCTGTAATCCCAGCTACTTGGGAAGCTGAGGCAGGAGAATTGCTTGAACCCGGGAGGCAGAGAGTTGCAGTGAGCCAAGACTGCGCCACTGCACTTCCAGCCTGGGTGACAGAAAAAGACTTTGTCTCAAAAAGAAAAAAAAAAAAGCTCAGAAGGACATCGGCTACATTAACAGAAGTATAGAACCTAGAATGTGAGAGGTGAATAGCTCACACTATTCTGGGCATGTCACCCAGAATGGCACAGTGCAATCATTTGGGTCATGGTCTGTGATGGGTCTCTGTCACATGAGGGCGCTGTGGAGTCAAACTCCAAATACAGCAAGCTTTGGGGATGCCCTGCCTTTCACAAGGCAGAGTGGGAAGGGTGGAGAGGTCAGAGGAGGCAGGCAGAGTGGGCCCACAGAGTGAGGGCTCTCCCAGAGGGAGAGGAGTGAGTCCCTGTCCTTGAGATCAAGAATGAGGCCTGTCAGCCTTGCCGTGTCCCCTTCCAAAGGCTAGGGCAGGGCCCTGTCCAGCTGAGCTCCACACATCAGCCCCGAGTGGTCCTGGCTAGACCCAGAACCTATCATAGGTGAAACCCATCTCCCCCATGCTAAGTCCTGACCCAGCCTGAGCAACACCCTGCCATTCTGGGATTTTCCCAGAAGGCAGAGGATGGACAGGAGGAGGAGTGAGTCTCTTTCATATTTACCCACAATGCAAAGGAAGCCTTAGGGTCAGGGCAAGGAGGGAGCCCTAACTTGGCCTCCTTGTGACCCAGCCCCAACCCTGCCTTGAGCCTGGAGCCAGCTGTCCAGCCTGCTTATGGCTCCTGCACACCCTGCCCTCTTGCCCCATGTCTTTGCCTGGGATGCATCCTGCATGTGGATTTTCTTCTGGTGAGCTGCTTTTCTCAGAAGCTACAACTCAGGAGTCTCCCACTCCAGGAACCCTTCCCTGACCCCCTGGCTCACAGCCCCATCCACTTGGCATTATCCAGTGGTGTGCTAGAGTGACTTGTACCTGCTTCCAAGAACCAATTGTTAAATTTTCAGGAATTTTACAAGAAGCAGACATCATGTTTATAGTTTGAATTCGGCCATAAGAGTTTTTGCATCATGAAACTGGGCAGTTCTACAAAGAAGGGGTTCCCAGTTAAATCAGAGCTCCAGTTAAATGGTTTAACATTTATCAGCACATGACTGGCCATCACCTAAACTGGGAAATCTCGAGGACTGGGACTGCACTTGACTTCTCTCTGTGCTCAGCACAGAGTCAGGCACAGAAGCCAATTGGCTTTAAAGTGGGGTCTAGAGAGAGGATCCGGGGTCTAGAGAGAGGATCCCTGAAAGGAGACTACTCCTGAGACAGCTAGTGAGAAGGTAGGTGGCAGAAGGGAATGGGTTGGAGAAAGGACCCTTGTGTGGCTGGTGAAAGCTTCCCCACCATATCCTCACCCCCAAGCACACAATAAGGCACAGCTCAGCAGGCAACACAACCTTTAGTATAAGTTACAGCCTCACACTGGCTCCTAGCCCATGGGAGCCTCCAGATGCGTCTATGACATTAGTCCCCAGATGTTCATCTCTTGGGCTGGGGGTACTCCTTAGAGCTGAGTCCACTGTGGCACCCAGTCCATTCCAGACCACTGTGCAAACTCAGCCCTCATTACTTACCAGGGTTTTCTGGCCAACCTGTGACTTGGCCGCCACCCCAGGTAGCTCAGCTACAGACTCTGGTACGTGACCTTGGTAAGCCACTTTCCTCTCTGGGCCTGTTTCTCCATTTGACTTGATTAGGCTAGACTCCAACCTAGGTACCTTGGCAGTACAGCCAGCTACTTGCGTGAGAGTCAGGCCAGGGGTGTCATTGACCTTAACTCTCGCCTTTCTTGAAACTTAATTCCCCCAATTCATACACACAAACGGTGACTAGGGGTTATGGGAACAGTTGACTCTGGACCACAGAGCGAATATCCTGAGCCCCTGTCAAATGACGGAGCATGGGGTCATGGCTTCCTTGGTCATCCAGCATGAGTCACTGATGGTCCATATCTGGGGAGACCGTACAATCTGCACAAGCCCTGGTCCCTGCAGCTTCCCAATATAAACCTGCGCAGGCTGAAGTGCTCTGCTCCTACAGCCTAATGTCTTTAGTGTTCTCGCTACCAGCCGGTGTGGACTCTGTCCGCCTAGAGTCCTCACTGCTGCCCAACACATCTTCTATCCTCTGCATGTCAGTTCTGTCGGATCTGCGCAAGCCCAGCCTGCGGCGAGCTGGGATGGCAGGGCTGGGGTCAGTGGGTGGCTTGGCATCTCGGGCAAAGCGTACAAGCCTCTGCCCAGCGAGGAAGTAGAGCACCGGGTCAAGGCAACTGTTAGCACTGGCCAGCGGCCGGGTGATCTTGTAGGCCATGTTGATGGCGTTGAGGGTGTGGCAGCTGAGGTCCAGCGAGCGGAAGGAGTAGTAGAGGGTGCGGGTGACATGGAAGGGCAGGAAGCAGAGGGCGAAGACAGCCAGCACTATGGCGATGGTGCGCACGGACTTGCGCTTGGCCCTAGGCAGGCCGCCCGAGGTCCCGTAGGCCGGCTTTAGCAGCCGCCGAGCCATGAGCATGTAACAGACAAGGATGATGGCAAAGGGCACCGCGAAGAGCAGGCCCAGCATGACTGAGCTGTAGGCCACGAAGCGGCTGAAGAGATCAGGCGCCGAGGTGTCGTGGCAGGTCACGCGGCCCCCACGTGCGCTGGTGGTGACAAAGTAGAGCACAGGGGCCTGGCAGGCCAGCACCAACACCCACACGGCCCCGGCCACCCGGCGAGCGTAGCGGGCCTGGCCCCAGCGCAGGGAGCGCAGAGGGCGTAAGACGCCCAGACACCGGTGCACGCTGATGCAGGTGAGGAAGAGGATGCTGCAGTAAAGATTGGTGTAGAAGAGGAAGCGCACCAGCTTGCAGAGCACGGTGCTAAAGGGCCAGTGGTCGCCGCGGGCGTAGTAATAGACCAGCAGCGGCAAGGAGGCTGCATACAGTGCATCAGACACAGCCAGGTGGAACATGTATGTGGTGGATGCATTCCAGGTCTTGAGGCGGCACAAGAAGATGTAGAGCGCCACGGCGTTCAGACACAGCCCAAGCACACACACCACGCCGTAGGACACAGGCAGCAGCACGTACTTGAAGTCCTCGTTGAAGCGGCACCTGTAGCCCAGCTCATCCCCATCCCAGGTGCCATTGATGGTGCCATTCCAGGGGCCCAGGTCTGCCGCCATCGCCCTGCAGGGAAGGGAGGGGTGAGGCCATCAGGGTTGTGGCTGGAGCGCCCCTAGGGGACCTGACACAGCCACCTGACCAGGGCTTTCGTTGCCATCTGACTTGGATCTGGACCTGGAACCTCCAAGCTTTGGAACCTTGAGAATGCATGAGATCCATGAATATCAGGATCACACAATTGTCAAACTTGAGAACAGGGGTAGACAAACTATAGTACAAAAGCCAGATCCAGTCTGCTTTTGTAAATTCAGCTTTATTGGAACACAACTGTACCCATCTGTTTACAAAGAGTTGAGTAGTTGTGATAAAGACCATATGGCCTGTGAAGTCTAAAATATTCACTATCTGACCTTCAAAAAAACTTAGCTCAAGCTGGGTGCAGTGGCTCATGCCTATAATCCTAGCTACTCGGGAGGCCAAGGCAGAAACCAGGTGCTTAAGCCCAGCCTAGGCAACAAAGTGAGACCCCATCTCTACAAAATTTGTGTTAAAAATTAGCCAGGCATGCTGGCACTCACCTGTAGTCCCAGCTACTTGGCAGGCTGAGGTGGGAGGATCATTGGAGCCCAGGAAGTTGAGGCTGCAGTGAGATGTGGCCACACCACTGCACTCCAGCCTGGGTGATATAGCAAGATCCCATCTCTGGGAGAGGGGAGGGCGGGGGGCGGGGGGTGGATAGTTTTCTTACCCCTCTCTAGAACCTCAGGATCAGAGTTTTAGATATAGGATTCTGAGCCCTAGAATCTGAGGATCTGGGGGTGCCAGAGCGGGTAATTTTGAGAATTTTGAGTTCATGGGAAGGGGCCTTTGAGGCTGGCTGACCCTGCTTCACACCCAATGCCTACTGCCTGCAGAGGCATTTCTGGCCGGTGGGCATCCAACAGCCCCCTGCAGGCATTACAGAGTTCTCTCCAGCTCGTTCTCCCACTCTGTGGGAGGCTCTGGGTGCACACCTAGTGTTCTGGTATTTGAGCAAGTATTTCCAAAGATCTCCCTCTTCAGTTATTCCTTCACTTTTTCATCTTCCTCTATTCTGGCAATTTCTATATCTATCAACAGCCCCTGAGCCTGTGAGGCTACCAGGGAATCCCCCTGAAGTAACCCCCCCTCCAAGAGTCTAGGGAAATCTGGGGTGAAGATGGGGATAGGGGGCCAACGGGTCTTCTTCTGTGTGGTAAATGCAGCTTCTTCTATGCCTATCCAGTTTCTCTCTGCATACCATCAGTATCCCCCCCAACCTTGTCCCCACTGAGCATATAACACACCCATGGGGACTGACCATCCAACAGACAGTGAGTGCCTAGGGAGCAGCTTGTCCCCTCCCTCTCCTCCTCACCCCTACCCAGGTGACCAGTTAAGGGCTCTCTCGCAGCTGGGAGGTAGGGGACAGACATCCCGGCCTGGAAGACAAAGACGTGCCTAACATCCCAGGAGGCAGGTTGGAAATCATAGCAGGAGTCCTGGGTGGGCAAGTTCGAGAAAAACACAAAGAAGCACTTTCTAGCAGTGTGAAGGGGAAAGAGGAGCTAACATTTTTCAAACCCTACTACTAAGCCCTGGACTTCATTCATAAAGTACCAAATTCTACAGGCCAGCGGCGTGGGCCCACCACCTGTATCCCAACAACGTTGAGGCCTGAGGCGCGTGGATCACTTGACACCCAGGATATCAAGACACCTGCCACCAGGAGAAACCCTGTCCCTAACTAAAAATATACCACACGCTGCGGGGTGCAGGCGCCTTAGGTTCCCAGCACCGGAGGGCTGGAGGCTGGTGGATCACCGACCAGGAGGCGGAGGTTGCCAGTGGAGCCAGAATCACCCACTGCGTACTCCACCTGGCGACCAGCCAAGACTCCTGCTTCGACAAAAAAGAAAAAAGTACTTTACACTTATCCTTACGATGTGTCGGGGAGCCAAGCCCCAGTTCTCCAACACAACCACAGACACACCATCATGTAAGTTATTATGTCAAGGTCATGCCCACACGGGGATGGGGTCAAGCTCAGTCTCTAGTGGGCCAGTGCGCCTGGGAAGTGCCTGTGGCAGGTTGTAGTAACCTCCCTCTTTATGGGAGCTGCAATGGAACTCTCTACAGCAAGGATGGCAGAAGGCTCTTGCCTGAGTGCGGTAATCGCTCTGGAGATGGCGAAAGGGCAATGAATGTGGAGTCCTCTCATCTGAGAACTGGACCATATAATTCCACTTCATTCTTTATTTATTATTTATTTTAATTTTAATTTTTAATGGAGTGCCCCTTTCGACTAGCGCTGCCAGTACAATGCCGACTCTCGTCCTACTGCAACCCTGCTCCCAGGTAAGTCCGATTCTCCTGCACACCCCTCCAAGCTGAGTTACAGGCACATCTACCACACCTCTCACTTATTTTGATTTTTAAGTAGATAGGGTTTTATCATGTTGCCAGGCTGAAGCTCTCCGGAAACATCGCATACCTCAATACTTCTCCTGCCTGCGGTCTCAAAGTGCTGGGACTTACAGGCTTGACGCCACGTGCCCACTCTAATTCCCTTCATTTTACAGATCCCTGGATGCCTGAGGGACTGCGGAGGGCGGACCTCTGCAGGCTGCAACCCTCCACTCCCATAAGAACCTGCAGCCGGCCTGCGGCTTCCCAGCCGCTCTCAAGCCCCAGCGACATTTGAGATTAGGGCGGCGGCTGTAGAGATCCGTCAATCCCTTTCTCTTTTTTTCTTTCTTTGTTTTTCTTTTGAGACAAATATTTCACTCCCATTGCCCCCAGGCTGGAAATCTGGCACGATCTCAGCTTCCTGCACCTCGAAATAACATCCTGGTCACACTCTCCCATGATCTCAGCCTCCCAATTAGCGGGATCAAGGTGTGCCACCATGCTAAGCAATTTTGTATTTTGTAGTACGAGAATGGCGGTTTCAACCATGTTGCCCAGGCTGGTCTCGAACTCCTGACCTCAAGTGATCCACCCACCTCAGCCTCCCAAAGTACTGGGATTACAGGTGTGGGCCACGGCGCCCGGCCAGTTTCCCGTCTTCCAAGACTCCCAGATCTTCTCTGTCTCCTGTTGTCAGCAAATGTGCACTCAGAAGCAAGTGGGCCTGCACCCTTGCTCCCCCTGCCATGGACACGGATGGCTCCCCAGGAGCCAGGGCAAAACCAGGGTGACGAGGCCAGGAGAAGCTTATGTGGTGCCAAGTTAAGAAGAGACAGGTAAAGGCTGGGGCTCTGGCAGGTCAAGTGGCTGAGACCCATCTTACCCAGGGTCAGGACAGTTCCTGCTGCCAGCTTAGTTCCAGGCTCTACCTCTTGTTGCTGGAACCACTGCACTGGCCTCCCTCCTCCAGCCCCAGTCCCACCCACCCACCCACCAAAATCCAGAGTGGCCTTTGTCAAATAAAGCATTCCTCTGTTTAGAATCTTCCTGCCGCTCCTACCCTCTCTCAGGAGAAAGCCCAGACCTCAAGTCTGGTACCTGAGGTTTTTATAACTGAGCCTCTGCCAACCTCACCCGCCCCAACCCCTGTGACCTGCAGTTTCCTGGATGTGCCTAACACTCTCCCCTCCCAGCCTTAGTTGCTGCTGCTCCTTCTACCTGGAATTCATTCGTGGCCCTCATCTCCACCTGTTGAACTCATGGCTCTTTATCCCTCAGTGCAGAGAACCCAGTGATTAAGAACCTGGGTGCTGGAGCCAGACTGCTTCTGCTTTCTCAGCTGTAAAATGGGACAGTTACTAGAATCTCCACCACAGGACTGCTGTGAAGGTCGAGTCATTTGTGTAAAATGTCTGGAATAGAGCCTGGCACACAGTAGGCACACGGTGGTGTTATGAGTGCCAAGGTTCAGCTAGTGGTGGCCTTTTCTAGAAACCTTTGGCCACAGTGGAGGTGGGACTGGAGGTCCTGACTGGAGGCTGTAGAGGTGAGTGTGGTGGGCCAGGGGAGTGACACTGAGACCCAAGAAGGGGAAGGCCTTGGGCCCTGTGAGGGGAGGGGTCCTGCAAGGGGAGAGATGTTTGGGAGGGAGGCTCTGGAGACTGTTCCCTGATGGAGGAATGGTGGGGAAGAGGAATTCAGTGTCAACCATGGCAAGTGTGGGGATGGGCACAGCCTGGGTCCATCAGGTCTGGAGCTTTGGAAGGCCAGCTGAGAGTCACTGACTCACAGAAACTGCAGGACAAGCAAGAAGAGGCCCCTGTGCAAGACTGAGGAGCTATGGAGGAGCCACATTCCCTCCCAGGACAGAGCCCCACCTGGGTATCAGTAAGCCGAGGTTCGAGTCTAGCTCTGCCACAAAACATCAGGTGACATCAAGCATTTCCTTCCTTCCTTCCTTCCCAAGTATCAGACACTAGTCAAATCCCCTAGCCTTGACAACTGCAGCCCCAAAATGTCCCCGGGAGGTCCTCTGACCCACTTGGACAGGGAGGGGGCTTCCTCCATGATCTAGACACACATGCCCAGTCTCGCCTTCACTCCATTGCTCTGTTCCTGCCTCAGAGATGAGGCCTGACCTCCCTCCACAGTCAACATAAACATCTCATCACCCTGCATGAAGAGTTTCCTGCTAATCCGTAACGGTGGAATCTCTGACACTGAAATGAGGGGTGGAGACTTCCCTGTCTCCCTTGAACTAAGGGAGCTGCCCCTTCCACCTGTTTTAAGACATCCTGGCCCCCACCCTCGCAAGCCAGCTGGGGACTCCATCACCATGGCCCTGGGCCAGACTCACCCCGCCCACCCTCTCGTTCTACAGGCTGGCTCACCAACCTGTGAGTACATCTTTCCTAGCCCTGCCTTAGAGGGACAGCCAACTTCTCAGCCCCCTCCCTCAAGTCTCCCTTCTGCCTCTCCTGATCCTGATGCCCCTGGGACTGATGCCCCTGGGAGCCCCAGGCTCCACCTGACTATCCAATGCGCACCAGCCCTGTTGCACCCCAGTCTGGCTGGCCCTGCCCCAAGGAACTCCCAGTCTGGAGGGGAGATGTGAGCCTTGTAAGGACCCTTCCAGGCTCCCCTGCCTGTGTTCATTCTGTTCTTTCTCACTGGAAAGCCTTCCCTGAACCCACCCACACTGCACTCCTTCGTACGTCCCAAAGGATCTTCTAATCTCTGAAGCTCTCCCTTCCATCACCCCTTAGGATGTTTCTCAGCCAGTTGGTAATTTGTCCTTCCATCCTGTACCCCAACACATTTCAGGTGCTCTTTGAAGGCTGGGTCCATCTGATGCTTTTCTCTGTCCCTATCATCCAGCAGGAGGCCCGACCACAGGAGGATTACAGGAACGAGAGAATGAATGAATGAATGAATGAATGAATGAATGAATCAAGCACAAGAGGCTATGGGGTCCCAGAGGAGGCACACACAGGCACAAGTCCTCTGCAGCTTCTGCACACTCCCATAAACAGGGAGTTCACTACCTCCCTCCTTCAGCCACTTCCACTGTGGGATGTACCTGAATAGGATTTGCAGCCCATCTCCAGTGCTGTAACCTTGATCAAATTACTTACAAATTACTTGCTTCTCTGAGGGCCTCTCAAGGACAAGAATGCTTAAAGGTTTCTTAGCTGCTGACCCTAAGTAACCAGGGGACAACCCAGCCCCTCTAGGGGTCCTGGCCCCCCTGGAACCTGCTTATGTCCCTAGACTGTCTCTCCTTCAACTGCCACAGGAGCCCAGGAGACTCTGCCTTTCTCTGGACAGGTCAGGGAAGTGCCAGCGGGAGGGGATTGGACATGGGCGCACTGGAGATGGGTTGGCTGTCTGAGACCTGCCACAGGTTTTTATCTGGCTCAGAACCTGGGTCAGTCTGATTAGGATTCTCCACCCACCCTGCTTTGTAGGGGCCAGACCTGGGCTGAGCAGCTTTCACACAGCATCGTCATCCCCCATCCCCACCCCTTGGTAGATATTGCCATAGAGGTTAAGCTATTTGTACAAGGTCACACTGCCAGGCATTGGAAAAATTAGCTTGACACCCAAAGCTATCTGACTTCAAAGCCTGAATTCATCACAGCCTGGGATGAGGGAGCAGAGCAGGGCACCTGCCTTCGGATCCCCTTGATCTAAGCCAGTTCAGGGCAGACACAGGCACAACAGCACATGTACCCACCCTCACCTCCCAGCCAGTGCACCCGCCCCCCTCACACACGTACCTGACCAGCCCCCGCTCTCCAGGTCAGGATGCTCAGTGCCTGCTCGGGTTCCTCACTCATGAATGCACACACCTGGACTGGGCTGCAGGGAACTCTGCGGGAAACAGGAAAAACAGGTCCCCAGGCCGGGGGCCACACCTAGCCTCCAGCATTTTTCTGGGCAGGCAGTGCTGTTGCCGCAAGGGGCTCCTGCAGACAGAGGGAGGTAGAGAAAGCATGGTCTCAGGGTCATGGAAACCCAGCCAGGCCAATTCCCCCCAGGGCCACCTCCTCTGTGGTAACCTTAACCAGAAGGAAGCAGAGAGGTGGCCTGGTGTTTGTCCTGGTCTGAGTGCCCTCTGTACACCCAAACTGCAGCTCATGTGTTCCAGGAATGGGTTATTCACAGCCCCTTTCCCCAGGCTGCCTTTCATAGAGTGGTGGCCCTGCCTGGAGGAAAGTCTCCCCCATGTCCCGTACAGCTGAGCCAAGCCTCCAAGCCTCCAGTGTCCCTTCCCTCGGTCCTGGTTCTGTGCTTTGGCCCCATAGTAGGAAAAGTCAATACCCTCTTTGCCCAGGGTGCATTGTATTGTCCTTCTGCCAACACACTTTTGCCTAAGCTACGTCTTTCTAGAGACCCCCTTCCTCCCCAATCCTACCTCTAAGCATTCCTCCATAGGTGTTATAAACACACATATGCCACACCTGAACACACACTGGCACAGACACACCAAGACACATAGATACACAAAGGCATGCAGAGTCACACTCAGGTGTACATGCAGTGGACACATACAGATGCACACACACACACACACACACAGAGTCTAGACCATCAGGGCCTAAAACTGCATTTAGAAATCTCCTGTGCCATACATACACCATGGAATACTATGCAGCCATAAAAAAGAATGAGTTCATGTCCTTTGCAGGGACATGGATGAAGCTGGAAACCATAATTCTCAGCAAACTATCACAAGATCAGAAAACTAAACACTGCATGTTCTCACCTATAAGTGGGAGTTGAACAATGAGAACACATGGACACAGGGAGGGGAACATCACACACCGGGGCCTGTTGGGGTTGCAGGGCTAGGGGAGGGATAACATTAGGAGAAATACGTAATGTAGGTGACAGGTTGATGGGTTCAGCAAACCACCAGGGCACGTGTATACCTATATAACAAAACTGCACGTTCTGAACACGTAACCCAGAACTCAATGTGTGTGTGTGTGTGTGTGTGTGTGTGTGTGTGTGTGTATGAAATCTCCTGTGCGAAACCCTCTTTCACAGAGGAGGAAACAGGCCCAAGCCTCACAGTAAGTCAGGGACAGAACCAAGACTAGAGCCCAGCCCTCCCGAATTCTGGCTGTGGTTTTTATCTCACCTTGGAGCCCCTTGCGCACACCAAGCACAGGGTTTCAGGGAGGGGACAGTTGCCTGGTGGAGGGGACCCTCTGTGTGGGCAGGTCTCACCCTCCACCAGCACCTCAGATACCTCAAAGGAGAAATAGAACATGCAACTCCTGAGTTTTTCTTTTTCCATCTTCATTTCCCTAGGATGGAGGAGTGGGCCTGTGACAGCTGAGCCAAGGTCCCCAAGCTGGAAGTGCAGTACAAGGGTGGGGGGATGTGGGAGAGGAGATGGGGACACTGCAAGAATACCTTGGGGATAGGGCAGGGGTGTTCATGGGAAGTGCCTCTGGGCCACTGCTTACTGAGTGCACCTTGCCCGGTGGTCTCAGACTGACAAGGCCGGTGGGCTGGTAGCTCCCCGCTGATCTACTCTAGAGACTATGACAAGGTGAGGGAACGTCAACCTTTTCACCCTGCTGCACCCAGGTGCACGCCCTATCTCCTCCTCCTTAGAAAATGCCTTGACTCAACAGGCTAAAGTGGAGAATATCACTTTCTCCAAGTGGTTCTCATTTCTGAGAAGGGCCCCCACCATCTTTCCAGGTTTCAAACCTCTGATACAGCCTGGAAAACCTCCCTCTTCTCCACCCTGCTAGAAGCCCACCACTCACCAAGTCCTGTTAGTTCAACCAGTGAAATTCCTCGGACATGCACCACATGGTCCCCACACTGCAGCCTGAGGCCTGTTATTCCGCAGTCCACAGCACCAGCCTCCTCACTGGCCTCCGTGCCTCCACCCCTGCCCTGTCTGTCCACCTTTCACACTGCGGTCATGTGGTTTCCTAAAACACAAATCCAACCACATATTGTTGAGTCATGTTCGTGGCTCCCTAGTGCCCTCAGGCGACTGTCCCAGCTCCTCAACCTGGCACTCAGGCCCTGGCTGATCTGGTCCCTGCCATCGCTCCAGAAAACCCATCCTCTCTGCCCTTGCCCTCATATTCCTGTCTCAGGCACAACAAAAGCAGTCCCATCGTCATATTGTTGCTCAGAGACAGCCTCCCTTATCATCTAACACCTATATCACCACAAGAGTTTAGTGCTGTCCCTGTGCCAAGTTCTGTGTTAGGTGACTTCATATACCTCTTCTCGTTGAATCCTGAGAGACTCAGAGAGGCTAAATAACCTCACAGCTCACAAAGCTAGCAAACGGCATAGCCACTCTGGGTTGTCCGACTTCAGAGGCTGTGCCCCTGACTACTACCTCCCACCCTGCAAGGCCCAGGCCCTCTCCCAGGAAGCTGCCGGACCATCCCTTTTTGGCCCCACAGCTCTCTGCCTGTCTGCTCAGTTCTCTGCCAGAGGAGTGGCAGGGCCCAGGATTTACTCTTTTCAGTACTTTTCAGTACTTCCTTTGTGTGAGGAGGTCATGGTGGTTATTGCATCCATCTCACAGGCAGAAAAACTAAGGCCAGACATAGAGCCCAAGGTAATTTATAGATTCAATGCCATCCCCATCAAGCCACCAATGACTTTCTTCACAGAAGTGGAAAAAACTACTTTAAAGTTCATATGGAACCAAAAAGGAGCCTACATTGCCAAGACAATCCTAAGCCAAAAGAACAAAGGTGGAGGCATCACACTACCTGACTTCAAACTATACTACAAGGCTACAGTAATCAAAACAGCATGGTACTGGTACCAAAACAGAGATATAGACCAATAGAACAGAATAGAGCCCTCAGAAATAATACCACACATCTACAACCATGTGATCTTTGACAAACCTGACAAAAACAAGAAATGGAGAAAGGACTCCCTATTTAATAAATGGGACTGGTAAAACTGGCTAGCCATATGTAGAAAGCTGAAACTGGATCCCTTCCTTACACTTTATACAAAAATTAATTCAAGATGGATTAAAGACTTAAATGTCAGACCTAAAACCATAAAATCCCTAGAAGAAAACGTAGGCAATACCATTCAGGACATAGGCATAGGCAAGGACTTCATGTCTAAAACACCAAATGCAACGTCAACAGAAGCCAAAATTGGGAAATGGGATCTAATTAAACTAAAGAGCTTCTGCACAGCAAAAGAACCTACCATTAGAGTGAATAGGCAACCTACAGAGTGGGAGAAAATTTTTGCAATCTACCCATCTGACAAAAATCTGACAATTTTTGCAATCTACCCATCTGACAAATATCCAGAATCTACCAAGAACTTAACAAATTACAAGAAAAAATAAACCCATCAAAACAGCTGGAAAGGAATGAACACACTTCTCAAAAGAACAATTTTTGCAGCACACGATCATATGGAAAAAATGCTCAATCATTACCGCCATCCAGAGAAATGCATATAAACCACAATGGATACCATCTCAACACCAGTTAGAATGGCAATTCTCTAAAAGTCAGCAACACAGTCTGGAGAGATGTTGAGAATAAGGAACACTTTTACACTGTTGGTGGGACTGTATAATAGTTTAACCATTGTGCGGAAGCCAGTGTGGCCGATTCCTCAGGATCAAGAACTAGCAATCCATTTGTCCAGCCATCCCATTACTGGTATATACCAAACGGATTATAAATCATGCTGCTATAAAGACACATGACACGTATGTCTTATTTGTGGCACTAATTCACAATAGCAAAGACTTGCGACCCAACCCAAATGTCCACCACATAGAGACTGGATTAAGAAAATGTGGCACCATATACACCATGGAATATTTGCAGCCATAAAAAAGCGAAGGTTCTGTCCTTTGTATGGACATGGCTCCAAGCTGGAACAACGATCATTGCTGAGGACAAACAGCAACGAACGGACAGAAAACCAACGCCACATTTTCTCAGCTCAAGCACATGCTTGAACTGGAGACAATCGAGTAAACCACTTGGACAGGAGGGTGGGGACCAAACCCACACCGGGGCCTGTCATAGGCGTGGCGGGAGGGGGGGGAGGGGGGAGGGATAGCATTAGGAGATATACCTAATGTAAATGACGAGTTAATGGGTGCAGCACACCAACATGGCACATGTAACAAACCTGCACGTTGTGCACATGTACCCTAGAACTTAAAGTATAGTTTTAAAAAAAGAAAAAAAAGAAAAACTAAATCCAGAAAGGGGTAGCTCAAGGTCTCACCCAAGGTCACTAGTGAGCCAAGGGCAGAGCCAAGCCTAGCGTGCAGACCTCTAACCCCCTGATCTGGTCCTGCCCCTAACCCAATCTGGGTCTTTCTCTTTGTGGTTCTAGGCTAGTGAGGCCAAAGTCAGAAGGAGGAGCTGGGTAGCTCCCAGGGCACTGTGGAATTTCCAGGGTGGTTGGATGACATTCCAGCTCCTCCACTAGAGTGGCTCTGGAATGTGCCTCCTTGGCTGGTGGCAGATCCTGTCTAGTCTGGTAGAGGAGAATGTCCTGTCACCTCTGTGGAGACCCCTGCTGCCTATCTCCACCAGGGGTGGGGTGCTGTGAGGGAAAACAGAGGACCTCGTCCCGGAACCTCATTAAGGGGGCAAGAGAGGGCACTAGGCAGGTGGGAAATCCCAGTTCTGCTCTTCCCAGTGGTAAGACAAGTCTCTTAACTCCAAAACCCAGAACTCAGTTTCCTCTCAATATCAGAACAGTACCTGCCTCAGAAGGTTGTTGAGCTGGTTAGATGATTTAGGCTCATTTTATCAAATAGTAAGAGAGAATATTTCAGCAGGTAAAGAAGGCGTGGAGGGTGGGGGTATCTCAGGAAGACAAGAAGGGCAGGAAGCTTTGCAGGAATTATGGGCTACAGGAAGGTCACAACCAGAATAACCACAGATCAGGTCTCCCACACTGAAGGCTGTCCTCAGGGGGAAGGCAGTCCAGGGATTCCCCAGCAGAAGCCAGATAGCCACCATACTCTTTCACTCACTCACCCTTCACAAAGGTTGTCACATCTATGCCCATCGCTGGGCAGGGCACCTGGGGACTCTGAGGTAGGTCAGATCTCAAGGAATTCACTGTCAAGATCAGGGGAGGCACACTCAGAGATAGGCGATGATAACACAAGGTGATCAGGCCTGGAGGAAGCCAAGGAGGCCCCCAACAGGATTGGAAGGGTGATGAGGGAAGGCTTCCTGGAGGAGAGGGCACCTGACTTGCATTTTGGAAGATGAGGAGTCAGGTGGTTGGAGAGACAGGAGGAGCAGAGTGAGGATGAACAAGAGATGACATGACACGTTTGAGGAACTGCTCTTCATCTTGGTGGCTTGAGGGGAGTGGAGAGGGCAAGGCTGGAGTGCACAAGCTGAGGAGCTTAGAAGTCACCCTAGCCCCTCCTCAATGTCCTTCAAGGGGCTGAAGGCCAGCAGGCCCCCTGCCTTGCCTGACCTGCTTCTGCACCGGGAGCACCAAAGCTGGTCTGAGGAAATGGCTAAGGGGTAACCTCAGATGCTATCAGCCGGTGCCGTTGTGGTGTAAGACCTCCCCTTCACACGGCCCTTGGGCTCTCTACCCCCTTCCAGATGCTCTCTCCTTCTTGGGAACCCCCCTAGGATCCTGGCTGTGGAGGCCACTCACCAGGGCTGAGCTCAGAGCAGCATCTGAGTGGGTAAATCTCAGATCAGCCAGGCTTACAGATCGGAAAGCCAAGACCTCTAAAGAGGAAGGGACTTACTCAAGGTCTGGTGTTCTAATTATTGTCAGTGTGGGTTTGACCACCTTACCTCCAACCCAGAGCAGGACCCCAAACCACCCATCTCACCTGGATCCCAGCACAGCCCAGAACAGGGCTACAGAGACATGCTGCTAGATTAAACAGGCTCAGAACCACAACATCCTGGACACCACCCCAACCTACCACAGCCAAATGCCTCCAGATTCAAGAGGCAAGAACCCTGAGTTCAGGCTCTAACTTGGAGCCGCCTGTGTTGTGCAGTCTTGGTGAAGTCAGCCCCCCTCTCAGAGCCTCGGGTTCTTCAGTGGTCAGATGGGGAGAATCACTGCTGCATGGGACAGCCCATGAGGAATAAGACAAGGGGACAGATGGGTGCACCATGGCACTAGCAAATCATGAACTGTCCTAATGTGGAGGCTGTGTCTGCCTGTCACAACAGGGAGACACTGAAATTCAGGAGCCCACGACACTGCTCGGTAGGTAGGCCCTCCCAGGTGTCCCCAGCAGAGGGACAGAGGTCATGGTCAGAGCAGTCAGGCAAGGTCCCTGGAAGGGGAACTGTGATAAGATTTGAGGAGGAGCAGGAAGGGTCCAGCTTGGGAGGAAAGAAGGTGGATGGAGAATCCAAGGTGGAAAGGGGGATGAAAGCATCGACCAGGAACCACATGAGCCTGTGATTCTGAGATGGCCCCTCCAGGTGCCTCCAGGATTCTGAGTTCCCTGGTTCTCACAGTCTAATTCCAAGAGGCTCTGGTTCCGGGTGTGGGCTCAGTGTTTCTTCAATTCTATCACTCGTTGCTCCTGATAGCCTTTGCTTTTGAGATTCTCAGAGCCACAGGAACCTGGATTCAGAGTAAGAAATCTTAAATCACATTCCCAGGAACCACAAAGTCCCAGCAAACACTTGCCAATGCTCTGGTGCACCCGGCCTCAGAGGGACCTCGGGAACTCAGACTCAGATCGCACTCTGCAGGACCTTTGAGGAGTACCCAGTCAGGCTGGGGAAAAAGACACAGACAGGGACCAAATCCACTTGGGTGAATAAACCATACAAGGCAAGCCCAGGGGTTATGGAGCACACAGCAACTCCTACCTGGCCTGGGGGAGGTGGTCAGGGAGCGCTTCTGCAGAGGAGGGGTCATCTGAGCTGGAAACGGATAGATGATTAGGAGTTTGTCAGGTGGGCAAAGAGGGAGGAGGGCTCTGAAGGCAGGAGAGGCATGAGCAAAGACTTGGTGGATGAAAGCGTGACCTGCTGGGAAAGGCCGGGAGGTCTTACATGGCTGCTGTGGAGGGTGAGGTGGCATGGAATGTGTGGGAGCCTGAGGAATTCACATGAAAAGGCTCAAATGCCAGGCCGAAGAGCTTGGCCTCTATTCTGAGGACAGTGAGGAGCCATGGAAGGCTTAAGAGGGGAAGGACATGGTCAGAGGCGATCTTTACAAAAATGGTGCCACATGGAAGGTAGATGGGACAGGGAGTCCGCAGGGAGGGAGACCAAGGAGGAGACGACAATATGGTGGCGCCGTGAGAGGAGCAGGTCCCTTGGCCCTAGATTTCCTGCGACAGCCCAGCCATGGCAAGAGTCCCCCTCCTACAAGCCAGGGCTGGGGCATTCACCAGGAAGCCAGGTCCACACCCAGAGGCTCTCCTCAGACCTGGGGAGGGAAAGGCCACGTGAGCCCCAGAAGCCTGAGGGAGGTCCCTTTCCCTCACTCCAGCACCCAGGCCTCTCACCCAGGAGCTAAAATGAGAGGGACAAGGTACCAGGGCAGAGGGCCAAGGAGTTGTTCCTCGGGGCCCAGGCTGCTCACCCTCCTACCAGAAACTCCTGCTACTCATCTTGGACCAGGAATGACTCAGGCCTAAGAGATGGGGTGATGGGGGTGGAGGAACTCCTCTGCTCCAGAACCAACTGTGGCGCTCCATGGAGAAAAGCCCCCCCTTCTACTCCATGCCTACTCCCACCTCGCCACTCATTTCCCACATACCCACTGGCACCTGCCCTGAGCCCAACCTGGGTGATGGGGACAGAGAGAGAAAGCAGGGATGGCTGAGCATAGTCCTACAACTGGCCTCTGGATGAGTACAGAGGTCACAGTGGCCCACACAGCCAGCCTACTCCTATCAGGGCCCAGTAATAAGGACAAGACAGACCTGAGGACCCAAGGGCAACCAAGAGGAAGGTGTGGCCCAGAGGGTATACCAAGCAGGCCTACACAAAGCAGTCTGGGGAGAGGCAGTTTGGGCAGAAGGCTTGAGGGGCAACCCCCACTCCCCTCACCAGATCGACAAGGCATCTCTGGTCCTGTGGGCAGGTCTGGGCAGGCGTTATCTTATCAGCAGTTGGGTAATCTGGCCACAAGAAAGCCCCAAACACAGGTTCCCAGGGCAGAATTCAAACTCCTCTCAGCCTAGAAGCCAGAGGACCAGGCCCGACCCCACAGGGCTCTGTCTCAGATGGGGAGGGCTAAGCTGGCAGATGGACTGGAGCCGCAGGTTTCACCTCAGCTTGGTGACCCTGGGCAAGATACAATCCATGCCTCTATTTCCTGATCTGCAAAATGGAGATTCAATTCCTGCCTCGCAGGTCTATAGGAAGACAAAATGGATTGTAAATCATTACTAGTGAAGCCATCTCTGCAGAGCGGGTAGGGGAGGAAGGCATTCAGTAATTAAATTTCAATAACCAGCACAACCCCTTGCTATTGCACCCATGTTCTCTTACAGTCTTCAAAATGAATTTAAGTCTATGAGTATCACATTCCTTCTCCAAGCACTGCAGTTTAAGGCTTATAAAGCTCTTCCCTGGTCACTATCTTAATCCTCGCAGCAACTTTGCCCTCAAAAAGCAAGGATCACCATTCTCAATTTACAGATGGCAGAACTGACACCTAGAGAGGGACAATGGCCTCTCTAAAGACTATAGCCATTAAGTCAAAGCTCTCATGGGGTCACTCATGAGGCTCTGGTGATACCCTCACACCTTCTTAGAGCCTTATGCATCCAGGGCAGGAGGGAGACAAACAGAGGAGCCACAGCCTCACTACACAGCCCAAGTTTGGTAGTCATTTCTGAGGGTTACCCACTGGGGATACCTAACCCCTCTGACCAGACTCCAAGAAAGCCCAAGACAGGGAGAAAAGGAGAAAGAGTGACAAACCTTTTGTGCCAGGGCCTCCCCACACACATACTCTCCCATGCACGATCTTACTTGTTCTGACCTCCTTTTAGAGCCTAGCAGGGCAGGAACTGGTCATCCAACAAGCTGGGAGCAGAGCTGGAATGAGATCAATTGCAGGTCCCCAAATTCCTCAGCAGGAGCATCTGAAGGCTCAGGGAACAGTGTCTGGCCAACGGGCAAGGACTCAATTAGGGTTTAAACAACTCCTGGGACAGTTCTAGTGTTGACATCACAAATGCCCTGACCTTCCTGCACTTGGCACTACTTGATCCATTCTCCATCCTGCAGCCAGAGAGCTCTTTCTGAAATGCCACCTGACCATGAAACTCCTCTGCTCATAAATTTCCATGGCTCCTTATTGCCTTCAGGATAAAATCCAGGTCTTTAGCCTGGGCACTCTAGGTCCTGCAGTGTCCCAGATCACACTGTTCTGGCAAACTGTGCCACCCACTTTGATAACCATATTCTGGTTTGCCCTTCTTTGGAGTGACATGGAGCTCACCTGCAGCCAGGCCTTTACTGGAGAAGCTGGGGCCAGAAACAGGGGATGGGGGCTGCTGCTGCTCTCTCAGTTCAGCTCAGCCCTGTGCGGGATGCTGGCAATACAGAAATGAGTCAGACCCAGTTTCTGCCCTCCAGGACCCCCTAGACCTGAGAAGAGGAAAGGAGGAGACAGACATAGATCATGACGGTCCAGGTGGGACCAGGGCTGTCAGCACCAGGACTGTAAGAGCCTAGAAGAGGCTCCAACCCTGCTGTGGGGATCAAGGAAAGCTTTCCAGAGGAGGGGCCATCTGAGCTGGGTCCCAAGTCTGGGTAGTTCTCCAGTTGAGGAAGGTGCGAGTAGGCGGCTTATCAGGCAGGGAGTGTAGAATATGCAACAGGCCCGAGGCAAGAAATGAGAGACTCCAGACAGCTGCTGCATCGTGAAGAATCAGGCGCCAGAGGTGGCTGGAAAGGCCGGCAGGCCCCAGTTATCAGAGACCTTAAGTCCCAGGCTACAGGGCTCAGGCTTGGTCCTGTGGAAGGCTTGTGCCCTAGGGAGGGGCACATGTGGGATTCTGGTTTTGGCAGGCTCCCTCCAGGGACTGACTTCCCATCCCTAAGCTGTGAGCCTGCCCATGGGGGAACACTGGTACTGAACATGACACACTCATCAGCTCCTCAACAGCCCTCAAATCCCGTATCATTAGTCCCTTCTTACAGACGAGGCCACCAAGGCTCAGAGAAAGGACGACTTGCTCAGACCACACAGTGGCCAAGACAGGATTGGAACATAGATCTCTGAGTCTCCAGAGCTCTCTTGTGGACCTGTCTGGCAGAGAATCTTCTTCCTCCCACTTCCACCAGCAGGTAACAAACTTGCCTGGGTCCTCATCCAGATCCTCAAAACTCATCATTATTTCAGCTTAGATCCAAAACAAACCAGGCAGATCAGGCTGTGGTCCCGGGGAAGCTGGTGATGCCATGCTGAAAGGAACAGCAGCCATGGACCCCACAGACCCCGAGCTGGCAGTGCTCGTCTCCAGCAGTCCCTGACCCTTGGGCTGCACTCCTGGAGGACCCCAAGAGGGCCACTGGCAGCCTTCGGGTTGCGGGGTGGGGTATCGCCTTTCTCCTGACTAACCCTTCCTACCACGGCATTTGCCAGATTCAAAGTCCTGAGACAGAGGCTTTACTGTCCTTCCTCCCCACTCCCTCCCCCCCGCCCACTCCCTGCAACTGCCCCCTCAACCTTACCAGCGGTAGGCGGCCACCCAGAGTGACCCTGGAGGCAGGACAGGGGGCAGGACAGGGGGCAGGGGATCTTCAGGGGTTCATGTCTCTGGGCACCGCCCACCGCCCCATGCCACGGGGACGCTCACATCCGAGCACACACAGACAAGTTCCGCAGGCTGGGCCAGTCGCCCCGAGGGGCGCACACACTCACCCGCTAACACGCAGACTTCGCGCACAGTCTCCTCGCAACGGGGCGCCCGTCTACACTCACGGAGACCGACGTTCCCGTGGAGACAAAGTTCAACCACGGACCCACAGGCGCGTTCAAGACGCCCAGTTATGCGCTACACGCCGGCTCGCAACGGTGCCCCGGGGCGACAGCCGCTCCACAGCGCCCTCCCCTGCCCCGCGCCCAGTCGGCACCTGCGCCAGCGCCCGCCGCTTCCCCGGGCCTCTCCAAGCGCCCTGTTCCCTCCAGGCACCGCACCTCTCGCCCCTGCGCTGCGCTTCTCCGCCCTGCGTGCCGTCGCCGCGGCTCCCGGGTGCCAGTGCCTGCGTCCAGCCGCCGCCGCAGCAGAGACCCACGTGCCTGGGAGCCCAGCTACCCACCTCCCTGCGCTGTTCCCCACCCCCGAAGCCGGGCCAGGCAGGGGGCGGGGCGGACCTTTGACCAACCCTGGCACCGCCCTCAACCCGCCCGGGTAGATACCTCGCCACCCGCTCCGGGACGCCGCCCAGCGACACGGCCGCGGGGTCAGCGCGTCTGTACCGGTGCTGCAATGGGAGGGGCGGGCGGCGACGGTCCCACTGCCGGGCCTGAAGGAGGCCGCCCGGCTCCCTCACGCTAGAAGGGAGCGGGTGAGCAGAGGTTCTCAGAGACGCCAAAGTTTTGCCAGGTCAGCCCGGCGCCTGCGTGGCCCACTGCTGGACCTTTGCGCCCAGCCGCCGCGCCACCCTACCCCTGTTCCGCCCCGCCTCAGCCCGGCTGGCCAGGAAGGGACCTGCTCGGAGAGACCTGCTCGAAACCCCAGGCCGAGGACGCACCTCCCTGGCTTGAAAGTGGGGGTAGGGGATGCCTCTCCTCATTACCCTGGGAAGGAAAGCAGGGTACTCAGGATCCCACCTCTTCCGTGCTCCCTACTTTCCCTGCCTTAATCTTACCAGCAGCTCCCTGAACTCCCCACTCTCTCTGGCCCGTTATCTTGAGCTGCTTTAACTCTCTTCTCTGCCGTCCACGTCCACCCCACTCTAATGGCCTTCCCTGGTCGGGCTGCGTGTCTGACCCTTTCGGAGACTGTGAGCTCCGGAGGGCGGGAACCAGGTCTACTTTCTTCCTGCTGCTGTCCCAGGTGCTCAATCCTTGAAGGTGTGAATGGATGAACGAATGAGCGCCCCCCTCTCTCTCATTTCTGGTCTAGGAATCAGGAATGTAGGTTCCTACCCAGCTTCAGCACCGACTCTGGGAGACCTTGACCCAGTTCCATTCTCTCTCAGGGTCTCCTTTCCTGTGAAGTGGAGTCAATCACTCGGGTGGCTGGACAAGTGCAGAGGAGGCCTCTTCCTGTAGCCAAGGAACTTGCCCAGGGCCCTTGGGGCCTTGGGCCCTCTTGGGATCCATATCAGCTGACTGGGCCTGGCTGCCATGAAGGGTGCTGGCTGCAGCCCCACCGGGAGCAGGAACAGAGTGGACACGCAGCCCAGAGGGGCAGAGCCGCCTCTGCAGTCCCGCTGGGACCTTTGCTTGGGAGACACAAAGGCCCCTTGTCCAGCCTCCTCTGCCTATTGTCTAAGCTGGGCCAGGCACCTTCCAGGGACCTAAGTATCCTCATAGCCCAAGTTATAGGGCCTAGGCCTTCAGGTTCCAGTATGGGGAAGACCCTTTAGGCACTGGAACTCCAGCCAACCCCTTCTTTCTCTCCCCTCTTCCAAAACTTCAAACCTTATACTGTCATGGCCATTTAGCCCAGGGGAAACGAGTTTCTTTGACGCAAAGTTGAGGACCCAGCCTCGACCTTCGCCTTCAGCGGGCAAATCTGGTTGGTGGCCTGCCCAGGGCTCTGCCCCTGCCCTGGCCCAATTCCCTTACTTTACAGCTGAGGAAACTGCATCCCTGAGACATATGGCATTTCAGCTACCACACAGGTGGCTTAGTGAGGCCTCAGGAGCAGAGGAAGGGGTCTAGTCCTTGAACCCCATAGCCTTGGGTTTAGATTCCAGTCTTGCCTCACCTGTCCCATGACTCATCTCTGAGCCTGAGTTTCCTCTTTTGCAAAAGGGAGTAATACTAATATCACTTGCTGGCCTGTCTTAAGTTTTTTGAGAAAGGGCCTTGCTCTGTCACCCAGGCCAGAGTGCAGTGGCATGATCACAGCACACTACAGTCTCTACTTCCCAGGCCCAAAGGATCCTCCTACCTCAGCCTCCCAAGTAGCTGAGACTACAGGCACATGCCACCATGCCGGACTAATTTTTAAATTTTTTTGTAGAGATGGGGTCTCCCTGTGTTGACCAGGCTGGTCTCAAACTCCTGGGTCCAAGCAATCCTCCTGCCTTGGCCTCCCAAAGTGCTGGGATTATAGGCATGAGCCCCAGCACCCTATCCTTAAATTCTTTTTTTCATGGTTTTATTCATCATCCCAAGCTGTCTGGGCTCAAGGGGTTAGTATCCCATGTAATGAGGGGCTAGAAGTCTCGTCTCCTGACGTCCTCCCCGGGCACTCCCATCGCTGGGTTTTAGAGGTCATCAAGTCCCGCAGGCTTCGAATCTCCCAACAGAGTCCCGCTTACCTGGGGCTGCCTGGGGAACCCCCATCCCATTTCAACTTGAGCACCTTTGCTTTTGTATTTTTATTTATTTATATTTCTTGGCAAGAATTTGTTGTAAACACATAGAAGATTTTGTGGCTGAAATAATGTAAAACCATTGATCAAACCGGAAATTGAGACACAGCCAGCGTCACACAACAGGCTCATCTGAAAGGCTGGAATAGCATCGAGGGAGTCTCCCTGGAACCAAGCAGCCAAGGCCAGCTAATGGTAAAGGCCCAGGCACAGTAATGGTCCCCTGGAGGTGGGTAATGGAGCCATGGGGGCAGGAGGAGGGTTCCATTAGCAGTAGCAGGTCAGGAGGGGAAGGGCAAAGTTCCAGCCTCGGCTTCTCCCATGTATTAGGAGGCTTCCTGTCTCTCCAGCCCTGAGAAGGTATTTGGCTAATTCAGGCCTTTTCATCCTCCTCCTCTCATCACCCCTGGGAAAACTTGCTCTGAAAATGCATGCTGGGGATGGAGTCCCTGCCCTGGCCCAAGCTCCAGTCCCCCCTTCCCAGGCTACAGTGGTGTCTCTGTTGCCCCTTGATGCCATACCCTGCCTTACACTCTCTGGTGGCTCCACCATCCACTGGATAAAGGCTAGCTCTCCAGCCTGCCACTCCAGCCTCCCTGTCTCTCTGCCTCACCTCTCACTTCTGACCAGCCTCCTGTTGCCGCTTACCCCTCCCTCTGCACCCCAGTGCCCCTGCTCCTGGCTCCCCACCATGGCTCCTCAAAGACCCAGGCTAGGTGCCCCACCACCTACCATGCTGTTATCGCTATCACTGCCTGTCTCTCCTAACAGGGATCTCTCTGAGAGCAGAGCCAGGGTCCATTCTATTCACAATTAAATGACCAGCACCTAGCACTGCCTCTGAATTTTTTTTTTTCTTGAGATGGAGTCCCGCTCTGTCACCCATGCTGGAGTGCAGTGGCGTGATCTCAGCTCACTGCAACCTCCGCCTCCTGGGTTCAAGTGATTCTCCTGCCTCAGCCTCCCAAGTAGCTGGGATTACAAGCGTGCACCACCACACCGCACTAATTTTTGTATTTTCAGTAGAGACAGGGTTTCACCATGTTGGCCAGGCTGGTCTTGAACTCCTGGCCTCAAGCAATCTGCCCGCCTTGGCCTCCCAAAGTGCTGGGATTACAGGTGTGAGCCACTGCACCTGACCCCTGTCCCTGAATACTTGTCACAACATATTTCTTATGAGTGAATGAATAAGAACTCTATTTAGTGGTCACCTTCTTTGTGCTAGTCATTAAGTTTAAGGTACCTCACTTAATCTTCTCCAGAACCCTGTGAGATAGGCATTATTTTATTCTCATGTGACATGTAGAGAAACTGAGGTTCAGAAAGGGGAAGTGAATGTCGAAAGCCACACAGTGAATCTGCAGTGGTTCTCCTGGCCCCGGAACTGCAGCCTGATGGGATGGAAGGCCCTGCTGAGTTCCCAGAGTTAATGGCTGGGCCATGTCATTGGGACCCACACTGGCAGCTCCAGTTACACAGGGCTGGGCCGGCTCTAGCAGCCTTGTCTTCCTTGCTCCCTGAACTGCTGCATTGGCCTGCACCATCCTCCCTTCCCTTGCCAGCCGGGAACTGTGCTCCTCAGGTTTCCTGGGTAGGGTCCAGGGCTCTGATGCCAAATGCAGCCTGGAAACTCTGGCTTTCAGCATGCCAGGGTGCAGGCACCCAAATGAGGCCACCTGGGATGCAGGAAGTTTAGTCCAGGCCTGGACATGCCTCTGTTCATTTCTCTTCAAGCAAGACCAGCTAGACCAGCTACTTAATCTGCAGGACTCAAGGCAAAATGAAAATCTGGGCCTCTCATTCAAAAATTAAGAATTTCCAACAAAAGAATGAAAAAATAAGAAAACGTTAAGAATTTCAAGATGGTGATGGCAGAGTATTTAATGCTTCAAATCATGGCCCTCACTGTCCAGATCACATGCCCACGAAGTCAGCCCTGTCCTCAGGCCTTGGTTTCCTCGTCTGTCAAGTGGGAGAATGGTAGCCACTGGCCAAAAGAGTGAGGATGAGAATGAGGTGGGAGCTGGTGGTAGGAGGTCCAGTGAACAGCATGAGGATCAGGTAAGGGTCTCCGAGTTCATGATTTGTCATCTGGGTCTCAGCATTGGGTGGCAGACCAAACTCCTTGCCAGGGCATTGATTGCTTACAACAGCTCTTTTTCACAGAACCAAAAAACTAAAAATTCATGAAGCAAAGTAACTTGCTCAGGGTCACACAGAGACTCAGTGGGGGAAGCCAAGATCAGAGTTCTGTCCTGGCTCTTTGCGAAGCTGGTGCTTTTTGTGATCCAGGCAGGAGAGAGAGAAGGGCAGGAGGGAGGTGGGATGGGGACAGGCTGCTCAGGACAAAGAGGGCCACTGTGCAGACACAAAGACCTGACCACAGAGGGCCCTGTGGGGGCTGGGACAGAAAAATGGATGGAGCTGTGTGACTCTATCTGTGGTGACTGGGGCAGCTGCCAGGAGCTGCCTCCTAGACCCTCTCTGGTCGTGATGAGGGTTGGAGAGGGCGTTGGCCTGCAGGAACCAGGAAATGGGTCAGGGAGGAGAAACAGACTCAGAGATGGG